GGTTTGATTCCTTTGAGGCTTATGTCTTTGTTTCTTTCCTACTCAATCTTATATATATTAACTATTGCCCATGTCAGTTGCCCTCAAGCCACATAAAGTATCAACCCTTATTTCAGCTAAAATTTACCATATTGTTCATACCATGCTTTTTCACAATTTGTGTTACAAAATCTTATTATTACCTGTCAAATTAGTAAATCAGCAGGAATTAACCCCTCTATCCCCCCTTCAAGCTCGTAGTTGCAAAAAAAAGAGAACAAAGCAACGAAAGCAAAGGAAGATCCATGTCGGACCCATACGAGAAAGTGAAAGGAGGTCGGTTAACCTTCAAGGGAGGCGCAGTAGCCAGCCGCAGCAAAGCAATCGACAAGAAGAAGAAGAAAAAGAAGAACAAGTCCACCGATGACGTCGTTTCCGACGAGCCCTTGACCGGTGACGCCGCCGTTGCCGCTACTGAACAAGATACCGACGCCGCTCCCGATGATACTTATACGATTGACGCCGCTAAGCGTAGGAAATACGATGAATTGTTCCCTGTCGAGGCTAAGAAATTCGGGTACGGCCCGAATGCAAAAGTCAAGTCCGTTGAGGATGCCCTTGATGACCGGGTCAAGAAGAAAGCTGACCGTTACTGCAAATGAATCCCTATCTTTTTAGGTATCGTCTATCAATCCTTGTAATTTTACTGTTTCGGGTTCAAATTATCCTATGATGTTAGCTTACCTCGGGGCTTACTATAATTTGACATTAGAGTTTGGCCCCAGCTTTATGCCCTGTAACAGTGGAATCTTCTTGTGGAACACTATGAGTATCGTTGCCTTTATTGATTATCTAATTTTTCCCTAAGAAGTAAATTTCATTTTGGCACGACATGATCAGTCGCCAATTTTCAATATCTTGTTAAGGAGAATCACTCTAAATAGAAATTTGATTTTTTACTATTTGTAGGACTATCTATAAACAATACAATGATGGATTCAAGCATTCTGTAGATGCCGAGTTCTTCCTCAATTACTTAGACTTTACCATATTTTGTGGTTTATTAGCAGATACTTAATGCATCGATTCTTCCACCCTAATATAGAAGTCTAGAACTAACATGTAATTTCCCCTAAACTAAAGCCATTAATATGCTACGTACTACTTTAGTTCTTCTGCATACTGAAAATTCTACTGCAATTTGAAACCTGTTATAAATACAATGCTTTCACATTTTCTTACCAAATTGACGGAATGTAAGACTAGCAATACATTTTAGATTAAAATCCAATGCTTTCACTTGTAACCTATGGCCTCAATCGCCTCTTCACTTCTTCTGCTCCTAGAAAATCTTCTCTGATTTGTGTCAACTTACTGTAAACTTGTCTCATGGTCAATCTGTCTCTTGGGGATTCAGCTGAACATGCAACTCCAATCTCAAGAATGCGAACCAAGCATTCCATCTGTTCTTTCTTCATAGTGGCCCAGTATTCTTCTCCATTGGTTGGTTTCCACATTATGTCACCATTTAGAGCTGTTTTGTCCAGAATCTTCATTGCTCTATCTGGTAATGCTGTTTTCACAAAGTGATGGAGACTTGAGCTTTCTTGGAACAAGGTGTCTGTGGGTCTTCTTCCAGTGAATATCTCCAATATTAGGATTCCAAAACTGTACATATCTCCTAAAATGGAGACCTTACCACCGATGCCGTATTCTGCAGCAAGAATTTGAGCTTATAAATTAACCACTATTATTAGAAGAAAACAATTGTGTATTCTATATATAAACTGTAATTTCATATCGTATGTTTTTCAGTCTGTGTTTTCACAGTTTTAGTTTACCTGGAGCTGCATAGCCAATGGTTCCCATAACTCCAAGTGAGCTAAACTGATGTAGATTGGGTTCTATACTGAATCCAGGAACGAGTCTAACCAAACCAAAATCTCCAAGATGAGCTGTGAGATCTTCATCAAGAAGAATGTTCTGTGGTTTTATATCACAGTGAATCATGGGTGTTTGGCACTGATGATGAAGATAATGCAGTGCAGAAGCCACATCTAGTATAATATGTATTCTCTGAAGAATTGTCAAGCTGCACCTTTGTGTCTCTGCCTTTGGATGCAGCCACTCTTCCAAGCTCCCGTTCTGCATGAACTCAAACACCAAAGCTTTAAACTCGTTTCCCTTATAATCAGAACCAGAGCATGCTGTGATGACTTTAACAAGGTTCCGGTGCCTAGTGTTTCTCAATGCTTGGCATTCTGCTATGAAGCTTTTAGAAGCACCTTGATGCTGGAGATTGAGTACCTTGACAGCAACGACCGCCCCATCAGAGGCCAAAGATCCCTTGTAAACAGTTCCGAAGCTGCCAGAGCCAATCAGATTTTCAGAAGAAAATCCACCAGTTGCATTGCGGAGCTCTTCGTAAGAAATATTGGGATAGAAGTTTGCAGATTTTGATCTATCAGCTGGTTGATCTTTTTTCAAATTTCTTCTCAAACAAAGGAAAACTACTAACAAGGCCAGGATTGAAAGTGAAGCAACAAAAACAATGATCAATATAAACTTGAGGGCAAGTACATGCTTCTTCCGTGTTTTTTGAGTTTCTTGATAAACACAAGGTGGTAAATGCAGCTCTTGAATCCCACCACAAAGCTTGGAGTTCCCGACAAATACATCTGCAGTCACATTTGAAAATATTCCGGTGACAGGAACCTCGCCCTCTAGATTGTTAAAAGATAAGTTAAAGGAGAGTAAGGAAGTAAGATTTGCAATGAATTGAGGGATTGGCCCTGATAGGTTGTTGAGGGAAAGATCTAAGAACTGGAGATCCTGTAAATCTTCTAAATCGGGAATGGTCCCTTGTAGGGAGTTTCCCTTCATATAGATTTCCCCCAAGGACAAGCATTTTCCCAGAGTTTGTGGAATCATACCCGAAAAATTGTTGTAAGAAAAATCAAGATAAGTAAGTTGACTCCAGTTACCAATGTATGCTGGCAACGGACCCGTAAAAGAGTTATAATATGCATAAATTTTTGTGAGGGATGAGAGAGCACTAAGTTCCTGTGGTATACTTCCAGTCAGATTGTTTTCAGCAATGTCCAATCTTAGCAGTTGGTTACAGTTCCCCAAGGTTGAAGGTATGTTACCCTCTAAACCGTTATATCCCAAATAAAGATACACGAGTTTAGTGAGATTTCCTAGTGAAGAAGGGATGACCCCTTTCATCAAGAGATTGTTACCCAAGTCGAGACGTCCCAAGTTTGTAAGTCTTCCAATAGAATCTGGAATGCCACCTGTAAGATTGTTGTAACTCATGTCAAGTAGATTCAAGTTTACCAGGTTTGAGATCTCTTTGGGTATGCTTCCACCAATTCTATTTTCGTTGAGAAGTAGGCGTTGTAACTGACTAGAAAGGTTGGCTATTGAATGGGGTAATGTACCTCCATACTGGTTGTCTCCAAAATGGAGTGTCAGTAGACTGCTGCAATTGGTAAGAGAACTTACAAAGTTGAGGTCATCGTGCTTACCGTATCCAAGATGGTTACTCCCAACATTGAGCCACAGTAAATTTCCCAAGTTACCAAAACTCTTAGGTATATTTCCAGTGAAATTGTTTACAGGAAAATCAAGCTGTAGCAATTTCGAAGCATTAGCCAAAGAGGATGGTATGGAACCAGTAAATTGACATTCTGCCAAGTAAAGTTTTTGGAGGTTAGGGAAGTAATGGCCTAAATCGGATCTGAGATTACCAGAAAAGTTGTTATGGGAAAGCGCTATTAATTCCAGGGATGACAAATTGTATAACGGAGGAGGGAACTCCCCAGATAAGCTATTTACAGACAATCCAAGCTGTCTCAACTTGGTCAATCGAGCTAAAGAAGCTGGTAATTCTCCCTCTAGATTGTTAAACGATAAATACAACTCTTGTAAAGATGTAAGATTTCCAATAGAACCTGGAAAGACTCCTGTCAGATTGTTATTTTTGAGATACAATTTCACTAACCTCGTTAATGATCCAACTTCGTCAGGAATCTGTCCGACAAGATTGTTGTGGTCGAGGACAAGGCTCTTGAGGTTAACACAATGTGATAGATTAACTGGAATTTCCCCTCCTAGATAGTTAAAACTCAAATTCAGGTTTTGTAGCCTGGACAGCCTGCTGAGTTGTCGAGGAATTTGATCATGGAAGGAATTTTCTGCAAGGTCAAGAGAATTGAGCAAGGAAAGATTTCCGAGATGAGCTGAGACTGGACCTGCCAACCTTAGCCCCTTCAGATTCAAGCTAATGACTCTTTCCTGTCTCAGGCCACATCTTACTCCAGTCCACAGACAGAAATGAACAGAATCGTTCCAAGAGGCCAAAACTCCTGATGGATCTTCAGTTATTTCGGACTTGAACCCGAGTAAGGCAAGTTTGTCAGTTTCATTGCCAAGTAATGTAGCAGCTGCAGCATATTGGGAGAAAAATAAGAATAAGAAAACAGGAAGTACAACATGGATAGACAAGAAGGTATGGAGATTAAAAACGGTAAAAACATCCATTCTGGAAAATGTCAAGGAGCAAGATGATATCTCTGAGAAATGTTGTTTTTGGTATTGGAGCACTGGTTATATAAGACACAAAATAGACAACAAGGTACCACGGCATATCAACAAAAATTTATTGTTTAGCTATTTTTTTTTCAAGATTGATTCTGACTTTGATGATTGATCAGCCTAATCTTTTCTTTAAAATATGCATATGCATTAAGAATTTTCCATCTCCTGAACTGGAAATGAAAAAGCAGTGAAAGTTGACTAACTATTTTCTTTTTATTATCATTGCTGTCATAATCTTTTCTTCAAAATATGCATTAAGGATATCCTTTTTTTTTTAAAACGAAATATTGTCTTTCGTATTGGTGCACGCAAGACAAGGGGAGGGTTGACTAACCATTTTCTTTTTATTAATCAAGGGTCGGGTTGACTAACCGTAATGCTTTATATTAAGTTAATTCCACTCTTTTCTCTGTAAGATAACTGATTCAGAATAAATTAAGGTGGAATTTCTATATTTCTCATTCTGAATAAACTCTTGCTTGGTCGTCTTTTCTCTTTTAAACTCAACTGCTTTATAGGATGAAATGCAGCCGATTTAGAGCATATGTATTTGCATCAGTTTTAAGCTTCAAAAATGGTTAAAAGAAAATAGTTAACCACCCATATTATCCACTAAAAAATGAATTGCATAATGAACTTTTTAAAAGCGGATCAAATATGGATATGAACCATATTATCCATTTAGAAAATGGATAACCAACGAGTTTAACTTTTACATTTACATTTGTAAAGCCTCAAATTGGGGGCTCTTCAAGTTTGAAAGATTAGGAATTCTCCCAAAAGTGATCATATTCAAGAAGTCATGGATAATATGGTTACCCATAGTATTCGCAGTTAACCCGTTTTTTATCCTTATTAAATATGGGTGGGATCGGATAATTTATCCGTTTTTTCATTACCCGTTTTCGACCCGAGCCATATCCAACCCGACCCGTCCGTTTGCCATCCCTAGTTAGAACTGTGCTTTTGTGGTTCTTGGCCATAAGGAAATGCAGTAAGAGCGTACTACATAAATCCAGTTAATTTTGTTCTAAGAACTTTGGAACAAGGTCAAAACAGCACATATGAAATACAAGATGCTCATTGACAAAGACATTCTTGAGAAGAAGATGGCTTTTCACAAATTATCATGGAAAAAACATGAGTTTAATTAATCCATTTATTAGTAAACAAGCAGAATATATAATGCAAGGACGAAGTGGTACCCCTATCATAGTCTAAGTGGCGCGGACTCTTTGATTTTGGTGCCGTCCCCGTCCCGATACGAGACGGGGACGGGAGCGGAAGCGGGATACGTCCCGGATTCGGTCAACTGACTTCGGATATTTTGACCGGAGTCCATCGACAAATTGGGTGAAAA